TTTCTGCACTATGTATATTTGAATGTTTTATGTTAATGTGGAAACTGTTACACATGAAATATTAACTTCATTTATTCAAACTATCCCTCCCCCACCACCAGTGGCACAGAGGTATGTTTGCGGACTTACAACGCTAAAAACCGGGTTTCAATACTCGTGGTGGGCAGAGCACAGATAGCCCACTGTGTAGCTTTGTGCTTAAAACTACAAACAAACAAACAAGTATTCAAACGCCTTGTTTACTATTGTTTTTGGAGGGAAATTATAAAGTAGAAAGTTGACCATAACGATAATGCAGAAACTAATATTGTGTTAAGAAGTAAAGAGGATGAAATAATATATAATTTTCGTAATTTGATTCATATGATATAAATGTAGAGTTCGTTTATTTCATGCTATTAAGAAAAATAGTTCTCTACCTAGATTGCAAACTAATTAATGTACGGTGATGACCTCATCATCCACCTCTAGCAAGACACTTTGGAACCACCTGTCTGCATCAACAAATTTTGGAACTATCCGCCTTAGTAACATAATTTGTAACTGCCCACCCCTAGTGGCACATCCTGAAACTATTCGCATTCTGTTGCCATTCGGTAGAACTACGAGATCATGTAACCTTCCTATCCCCACTAGGCGGCACCCTTTGATCTATCTCCCATCCCCTTGAATCCCTCAGGTTTATGCACCCTTTCGATGCAGATCGGGAAAGTTAAATAAATACCGACAATGTAATGTCCCACATATAGTTACTTATTAAAGTACAATTGTTTATATCTCAAATAAGCTGCTTTCAATTCCCAGTCAAATTCAGTTTTGTTTTGGAAATGCTAAACGGCCCATCTTCAAATATGTTTGCCCCCCCCCCTCCCCAGTAGCTCAGCTGTAAGTATGTAGGCTTACTATGCTAAAAAATAGGGTTTCGATACCCGTGGTGGGTAGAGCATAGATAGCTCTTTGTGCTTAACAACAAACAACCAATTTAAATATGTACTGTTTGTCCACTGGTTGATCTGCACTATGTTTACGGGCTTACAACCGTAAAATTAATGGTTCTTTTTAGTTTACTCGGGGCAGTTGGGTCAGTTACGATGGGTCTACAGAATTAACGAAAATAATACATTATAAGTAGTGTATTCTGGGGTGTAGTTGAATAAAGAAACCTTGTATTCTAATATTAACTGACCAAACCGTATTGTGCTTTTAGTATAGAGTTTAGTGGTGCCATCTCTACATAAGTACAGTAGTGGTTTAATTCTGCTATATTTTTAGCCACGGCATAGTGGCTCATAGAACGGCTCTGAGTTTCTGTTGTTGTTTCTTAAGTACAAACCTTTAGCTCATAGGAGGGAACTTTCGATTGATGTATTTGACCACACCCAAAGTCTCATAGATAAATTTATTCTAATCCTGCCTAAAAGAATTCCAAGTGCCGTGGCTATTGAAATTCCCTCTTGTTCTCTATCGACTTGATCAAGTAAGGAATTATTTAGGTATCTTTCTAGACATGAGCACTCGTTTGTTGTTGTTATTTTCTTGTATTTAGAAGTTGAAATATTACATGAAAAACTGATGTTCATTCCTTGTTGAAGTTTTATATGTCTTGGTCCACTTTCAAAAAGTGTTGTTACGTATTATAACTTCGAATAGATTGTTTGTTTGTTTGCTTGGAATTAAGCACAAAGCTACACAATGGGCTA